AAAGGAAATGAGTATGAATGTTTTTATTTTTCCTATTGTTAGGTATTGCTATTGTTGTCCTACGGGTATTATTAGGGTGTTATTCTAAAAAAAAGGTGTAAAGGAAAAGGAAAAACAAAGCTTAAAAATTATGGCAAAGTCAGAAAGGATAAAGGCAAAAGCATGAGAAAAGAAAAAAGAAGTCAAAAGGGGGGGAATAATAACTTGTGAGATTATTAACTCACTATCATTATGTTAGGGACAAAAACATGAAGTTTGAAACTTGACTTGAGGAAATGTTAAACATGAATCATTCATATGAGTTGAATTTCTCAAATACTTTTGTATATCCCAGAAAAACCAATGATTCTTTCTTAGCCCAACCCCATTACAAGCCTCAAAAGACCTTTTGATTTAAGTCTTGCTTAACAAATGTTGATTGCTTGAAGATGATTATCAATATTGGATTGTCTAAATGAAGTGATTGAATGAGATAAACACTTACCCGTGAGAGTTAGAGATGATTATATATCACTCTATTTGAGAGATCATGCTTCTCTGAGGATAGTTGAGGACTAATTATTCTTTGTTAGTTTCTGTAACTTGAATGCTTATGTATTTTATTTTCATTTGGAGTTGTGAGCATCACATCTGAAAATTTTTTATGTTGTGGTTCTGGAAGAGAAAGTGATAATAGGTGATGGTTTGTTTTAGAAAAATTACTTTGCTTGGGACAAGCAAGATTCTAGGTTGGGGAAAGTTGTTAAGTGGTAAAAAGTTGATATAATTATGCCTTGAATTGTTATGAAACCACTTAACTTATGTTAATTCTAATCTATTTTTCTCCCAATATAAGATGAATTCGAGAATACCTTGATATAAGAGTAAAGAGCATAATTGGAGTAAAACTGGAAAAAGGAAGAAGATTTTCAACACGGAAGTCGCTCGAGCGAGATGGACTCTCGCTTGAGCGAATATCAGTTATTATTCTCTAGAAGTTAGTCGCTCAAGTGCAAGAAAATTCGCTTGAGTGGATGTTAGTTATTCTTTTCTGGAGTTCACTCGCTCAAGCGAGCGTATTGTCGCTTGAGCGAAAATAGGAAACTTTCGCTTAAGCGAAAGTTGTTGCTTGAGCAAAGACGCGAGACCCAATTTTTCCTATAAAAAGATAAGATGTGCTTTAAGAAAAGCAAGCGGTTTTTGGGAGAAGAGGCGCGACTACTGCCAGGGTTTCATCCAATCTTCATCAATTCTTCACTTCTTCCTCATTTGGAGCATTGTAATGGCCAACATGAGTGACTAACTTCATTCCCTTGGGATTTGGCACACTTCCTTTGAACTATTTTGTATCATGGTGATATTTTGAGATATTAATCTATGTTTTGATATTGTTATTCTTATCCTCTGTGCTTTAGAACTTTTTTTACCACCACTTAGATGAGGAATTGTAAGGAAATATATTCTCTAACTAATCTACGTTATTTTTAATTTATTTTTTGTGTTATTTATTATATTGACATTAACAAAGGATTGGAGACAAAAATATTTTCTAGCTAAAAATTTATATAATTCTGTAATAAAGTAATGAGATAAATATATATACTTTGGCAAAATTGCAACTACTTAACTCCAAGTTAGCTATCATTCTTTTTCCTAGCAATTCCCTAGAAAATCAACAATATTTTTTCTAGTGTTACTTCAAATCCTTAAAGTTAGCTAGTCACCTAGTCATATCATAGTAATTTGAATATTTACATATGTCTTTTGAGACGTTAAGACTGAGTCTATAAAAGAAAAATAAAACCTTAGTTGTTCTAAACATTATCCTTTATTTTGTAAGTCAAAAGTAACTTGTTGTTGAAATAATACTCATGTACAAAGTTAAGAATGACTACTGTATTTAAAGAATATTTGGATGGTTTCACAAAGTTAGGAGTGACTTGTTGAAATAATACATGTGTTGTGTAAAATCAAGAGTGTCATGTAATAAAATAAATACTCATGTGCTATATAAATTCAAGAGCGACTATTGTGTTTAAAATATACTCGTATGGTTGAGAAACTTGAAGAAATTTATCAAAGAATACTCATGTTGTAAGTTTGGTCTACTTTGATTTTATTTGTATTCTTATCTTTCTACTTTGATTTTGATAATCTTAACTAACCTTGAACTTTGTTTAAAGTTTCTTTTAGATAGTTTGTGAAAAATATTGTATGTTTTATAGTCAAACTCTAAGTTTGTATGTTTTTAAAGTTTGTTAAGAATAGATAATAAGTGTGATGCATATTTTTGAAAAAGTATTGAAAATCCATTAGAACAAAAATTCAAACCTCGTTGTGTTTTTTCTATTTTCAAGACAATTTTTCAAAAAAAATTTAAAATCCTATCTTATCTATGAAGATTGTCAGAAAAGGAAACAAGTAAAAGAAAAACAAATTACAAAATATTGTTTTCACTTTTAGATAATAACATTATTTTACATAGATATGTTTGGACAAACAAAGATGTTAAGTTTGGTATGTAAGAAATAGGGTCCAATCATAGTATATGATTATCTCGTATTTCCTATCCAAACATACAATGATTATTTTAAAGTGTTTGAAATACTTTGTAAAAGTTCATAAACAAAAAGAGATATTTGCATCTAAAGCATAAGAAGTGACCATGGAACAAAATTTAAAAATACAAGGTTTAATTCCTTCTAGGAAAGAAATGAAATTTTCTACAACTTCTCTTCACCAATAACATCTCATCAAAATGGAAGTTGAAAGGAAAAATAGAATCTTATGGGAGATTAAAATTATAATTTGTGTAATTTCTATGCCAAAAACACTCATGGCTAAGGTTGTAAATACCACCTATTAAAATTTTAATTAGACTCTTACTTAATAAGACTTCTTATGAATTATGGAGAAGAACAACAACCAATAGATATTATTTTCATTCTCGTAAATTCAAATACTTTATTCTCCATATTAAGACTAAACTGGGAATGTGTGACTCTAAGGTTTATGGAGTGTTTAACATCATAACCTTTGTACTACTGGAAACTATAAATGTGTTACATATTGATAGTCGACTATTAGATCTAGAGGATAATTTTATGAAAGGGAAAGGATTTTTTGACAACTAATGTTTCCAAACATATGATAGACAACCTTGGAATATTATTTTTTTGGTTGATTGATGGAGAGATAATGAAATAAGATAGATAAATAATCTAATAAAAATCTAAAAATGGGTTGTTGAAAGGATGTTTTTATCCTTTTGTAGTACCAAAATATGAGCACTTTTTATAAAAATGCAGATTGATGTATCAAACAAAACATTGTCAAATGAAACATAACCTTTAAATTATGAGTCCTCATTTGACATAATCATAAACATTGTACATTGTTGTAAAGTCTATTCAATAAACCAAAGATTAGAGATATACAACCTCTCACAATCAATAACATATTATTGGAGACAGAATAAAGAAAGTCAAATTCAAACCATCTTTTTAAATTCAAGTTTCATATGATTTATTTCACACATTGAACCTTTAAGTATAAACAAAACTTTATCATATGATGATTGGATTGTAGTTATGTATGAAATTTTGTTTTTTATATCTAAGGAAAAAACATTATAGGAATAAGGTGTATTTTGGTAAACAAGATATATGAGTTAGGAAAAGTGGTAAGAAGTAAAATTAGGTTGATAACTTGACTTGAAGATATAGCAAACAAAGTAAACATTTCACTAAGACCTTTGCTCCTATAGCTAGATTTGAGATTTTCTAAATGATTCTGTACATGAATATGATTTTATAAATCAACTTCCTTTAAGAATTTAAATTATAGATAATGTATTCAAGTTGAATAAAATTTTGCATAATCTAACGCAAATTCCTATGTTATGACAAATAAAACTTTTTTTACCTTATTATTAGCCATACCTAATATTATTATGTATAATATTAATCTATATACTAAACATATAAAAATTACCTTATTATTCGCAATACCTAATATTATGTATAATATTAATCTATCTACTAAATTGTTGAAAGGATATTTTGTTATCTATACCACTAACATATGTCTGTATTATTAAAAAAAGTATCTTAATAGGATATTGCAATAGGTACTATGCTTGAGATAGAATAGGAAAAAATAATATCAATTTATCCATCCATATCGTATCTCGTGATCAAGTAAAAAATAGAGTTTCATAGATTAATAAACAATTGAAATTGAATAATATTTGTTTTTAATTTTTATATATAAAATATCTAATATTTGAAAATAATATATTTGAGTATAATAATAATAATAATAATAATAATAATAATAATAATCTTTTTAAAAAATTATAAAATTTTAACACAAAACACGTTAAAATAAAATATTGCTTCAATTATGTACAAAAAATTTAATATTATTTCTCTTCCATTAAATGATCAATTTAATTATAAAAAAATAAATGAGATAAATTTGTGTATAGGATTTTTTTCTTTTTCTCATTTATACATTAATCAACACAAAATAAATAAATCTGGTACTTTAGTATCTAAATGAATTTATTTTGTTACTGAAGATTCTAGATTTAAAAAAAAATAGAAAGAATTAAATATATTTGTAATCTTTGATAAATGATTGAAAAAAGTTTTCATCTTCAATATTTCTTTTCATTTTTTGTCATTAATTTAATGCTTTATTTCAATTTTTAAAAAATATTTTTAAATTATTTTTTAAAATAAAAATAAAAATTATGATTAACATAAATATTAAAATAAAAACTATTAGAGAAATAAATTATAAGATAAAAAACATATTTAAGTCAAATAAAAAAAAATTTCCTCTCTTACTGGCATTAAATTCGTTAAAGTAAACATGTATAGATAGATGATCTTGACCCAGATTAAAAGGCCAAGGCCCAAAAGCAAAATGAGGCGCCGAAGAACTTTCTCCGATAAACAAAAGCGCGCATAAGTCCTCCTAGACCCTAGCTGCTTCTGCAACTCTTCCGCTCAGAAATGGCGACGTTTCCATTGATTCAGCGTGCGCGTACCTCAATGCTTTCTTCATCGTTCAAGCTTCGGACATTCCTCATCCATGGCAACCTCTACACCCAAACCCTAACTTCGAAATCTCTAAGCACCTCTGCGCTTCCAAACGACTGTCAAAGATTCCCTTCCCACCAACACCAACCACAACCACCTTCTGATCCTACACACTTTCAGGGTCAACAATGGCAACAACATCAGCCTCAACATTTCAACCCTCAGACCAATCAATTTCCTAACCAAAACCATCAACAGTATCGTCAACACAATGTTCCTCCTCCATTTCCAGAGCATGGCCAAAACCGTAATCAGTGGAATCCTCAATCCCCAACCCCTCAGAACCCCAATTTTCAAAATCTCAACTTTCGCCCACCCACTTCCCCCAATCGATGGAACAATCAAAACCCTGCTACCCCCAACCAGTGGAACCCTAGGACTCAGGGGTTCCCAAACCCTAACCAATTCCAAAACCCTAATAACCAGCTGAACAACAATGAAGCCTTTATTCAAGGACAAGCCTCCCCTTCTCCTCCACCACCTCCTCCTTCAATCACTGATTTGACACGTTTGTGCGAAGAGGGGAAAGTTAAAGAAGCAATAGAGTTGATGGACAAAGGGGTCAAAGCTGATGCTTGTTGCTTTGACCTTCTGTTTGACTTGTGTGGCCGATCCAAGTCCCTTGAGGAGGCTAAGAAGGCCCATGACCACTTCCTACAATCCTCTTTTAGGAGTGATCTCAACCTGAACAACAAGGTGATTGAAATGTATGGGAATTGTAAAAGCATGACTGATGCACGTAGGGTGTTCGATCATATGCCAAACAGGAATATGGATTCTTGGCTCTTGATGATGAGGGGTTACGCAAATAACACCAATGGAGATGATGCCTTGCAGTTGTTTGAGCAGATGAATGAGCTGGGTTTGGAGATCACTTCAGAGACTTTGCTTGCAGTGTTGTCAGCTTGTGCCAGTGCAGAGTCTGTGGAGGATGCTTACCTTCATTTTGAGTCTATGAAAACGAAGTATGGAATAGAACCTGGGGTGGAGCACTACATGGGGCTTTTGGATGTTCTTGGACAATCTGCATATCTCAAGGAAGCGGAGGAGTTTATTGACAAGTTGCCATTTGAGCCCACCGTAACCGTATGGGAGAAACTGAAGCATTATGCTCGTGTTCATGGAGACGTTGATCTTGAAGACTATGTTGAAGAGTTGATTGTTAGTCTTGACCCATCAAAGGTTGTTGCCAATAAGATTCCTACGCCACCTCCGAAGAAGTATACTGCAATTAGCATGCTTGATGGCAGGAACCGAATTATTGAGTATAAGAATCCTACTCTTTACAAGGATGATGAAAAGTTGAAGGCCTTGAGTGGGATGAAAGATGCGGGGTATGTTCCTGATACAAGATATGTTCTTCATGACATTGATCAGGAAGCAAAGGAGCAAGCCCTGCTGTACCACAGTGAACGTCTAGCAATTGCCTATGGTCTTATTAGTACTCCGCCAAGAACACCTCTTAGAATCATCAAAAACCTTCGTGTCTGTGGTGACTGCCACAATGCCATCAAGATCATGTCCAGGATTGTTGGGAGGGAATTAATTGTCAGAGACAACAAGAGGTTTCATCATTTCAAGGATGGAAAATGCTCTTGTGGGGATTACTGGTGAAAGAATCTTTACTTGAAATCCTTCGCTAGCATATGAATATATAATTTTCTACCAAGCATCCCCCTTTACTGGGAAAAACAGATGTGCGTCCAAGCTTTAATACTACTAGGATAGGACATGAAATATGTAATATGCATTGATTTAGATGTATTTGCGTCTTGTTCAGATATCACTTAATTATTCTCTCTACTTCTACTCGGGTATTATTTGTGAGTACTGCAAAATTCGCTCTTACATTGTTTTTGTATATTTATTTTTTGGTTCCATCAACTTAACATTTAGCTGTATTAATTGACTCATACACCTTTTGCCGAACAAGAATGATGTGTGGTTTTGAAAGATGTTTAGAAACCTATCTAAAGAACGGTGTATTGGGAAAAAAAATATGTTTAGGTACATGCGAATTCTTGAATGAATATACCTTTTTGAATGTTCATCAACTTAAAATTAGGTTAAACAACATATATTCTTAAACCTTTTCCCATTCTAAAACTTCTCTTCATCAATGAAGTTGTCACTCCAAAACTGTTTTTCCAAGTTTCCATACGGTTCATCACTTCTACATGTTGAAATTTGGATTGATCTATTGAAAGATTCGTGCAAAGCATCCACTCCTACCCAATTATTATGCTGAAAGTTATGCTACTCATTTTTCTAGTTTTATACCAACCTTCTTTTGTAACAAACAACTTAGGCAGTTTTGTTTCATTGTTTTCTAGCTTCCTTAGACGTAGAACCATTTATGAAAATATCATCCTTTTTTTTCCCTAGATTCCATTTCTCATATTGCAGCCAAGATCTACGAGAAGAAATAAGTATGTATGAAAGAAAATAAGTAAAATAGGTGAGAATAGAATGAAAATATAATTTGTTTGATTGAAACTAAACAGAAAAATAAATATTTGTTTAGAAAGAGTGGAAGAGAAAAGAATTAAGCTTTCAAACAAAATTACCAAATTAGCCTTCTTTTGTTTTGTGAAATAATTTCGAACCACTAATAATTCTAATAATCTAATTGATTATGATTTATGGAAAATCATCATCTATTAGGTAGCATTTATATAATGGATTATGAGAAAATATAATTAATTAAGATTGAATTATGATAATTTAACATTATTAGTTATACTAAAGTTATAATTAGTTAGGATTCAAGTTTTATGACTTTCAAACTAATTATAATTGATTATATAAAGACATAATTTATTATATTTAAGTTTAAGTTTAAGTTAATTGATTATGTGAAGATATGGTCTATTATATTTAAGGATATATTTTGATTATATTTTAATTTGTGAATAAAATATTATAAATAATAATGTTTAAGTTAATTGTTTTTTCGTTTTTTATTTTATGCTCTTTTTTGGAGTTTTTATCTGAATTTTATCTCTTTTTTGCTCTCTCTCTCTCTCTCTCAATCTCCATTTAGGTCATGTCTCTACCTCGTTCTCTCTTGCGGTCTCCACCTTGGTTCTCTCTTCCCTCTTTCACCCAAGTAGTTACCAGGTTAGTTTATCATCTATGTTATCTAGGTTTATTCTAATTTCATGTATCTAGGTTTTAAATTTTCATTTCATTTTATTGAGGTTTAGGTTTAGTGCATCAATAAAATAAACTAATATGTTTTTAACGGTTTATGTTCCCTAAAATTAAGTGTCACTATTAACATGGACGAAGAGACTGTGGATCTTCACTAAGAGGTCTCAATGTGGTCCATTTTCTTTTGTCTCATGTTGGTCATTCAACTACAACTTTAGCTTGTGATGGCTAAAGTAAAGCGTGGTTTAAGAACAATTTTTGTGCTTTTGACTTGAAATTTATTTGAAATAGCTATGAATTTCAATGCTCTTAGTATAAAAGTATTGGATTCTCTTCCATGTTTTAGTGAAGGCTTCTTTTTAAATAGACCACACTAAGACTTGCAAGTAAAAGTACACAATATCTACATCCATATTAATAGTATGACACTTGATTTTAGTGAAAACAAATTAGTTTATTTTCTCATGCTTCACATTTTGGTCCATCATATATTGTAGTTGCATATATACACAAATTAGTTTATTTTCTCGAGTTAGAAGGATTGTAAGATTTTCGAATGGTGAGAAGGATTGAAATTTTGTATAAATAATGTGGGGCTCAATTTTATTTCATGTCATTGGTACAAGGACATGAAGAGGAAGAAGTGAATGTTAAAAATTGAAATAATACATAAATATTATTATTTATAAGTTATAGATTAATTGTATTCAAAATTGAACTAATTTAAAAATAAAATAAAAAATTGATCTAAAAGATAAAAAATTATTAAATCCATTTTGTTTTTGGATTGAAAAAAATTTAAAATCGATTGATTTCATTCCGTTTTCGATTTAACAGTAAAAAAAAATTAACGGAAATTGAATTAAACAAATTATAATATATACTGCTAAACTTAAAACATAAAATGACACCGATTATGAGTAAGTTAATTAATTTCTTATAATTTATGACATGTTAATTTTTTTAAATTAAATATGGAAATATGTGAAAATAAATTGAAATTATGAATATTATGATGCTTTTATAATATATATAGTTAATGAACAATTATATTATTTATAATATATTTAACAATTTTATAATAAAAAATTACATAAATTATCTAAATCAAATTGAAAAATATTAACTTGATTTAGTCCATATTTAAAAAAAAAATGTCTAAACCGAAAACGTGCCTACCTCGTATCATATTAAGAATGTCTTGTAATTTTATAATAAATATATCCTTAAATAAAATAGATTATGACTTAACATAACAAATTTACTTAAATATATTGAATTATATCTTTATATAATCAATAAACTTATACAAATCTTTAGTCATGAAATCTTAAATCATAACTAATTATAATCATAATATAAATAATAATGTTAAATTATCAATCTTATTGCATAAATGTTATTATCATAAAGCAGTTTGAAATTATTTCACAAAAGAAGGTTAATTTGGTAGTTTTGTTTGAAAGCTAATTTTTTTTTTTTCTCTTCTTTTCTTTCCAAACAAATTTTCACATTTTCTATTTAGTTTCAATCAAACAAATTTTATTCTCACTCTATTTCTCACCTAGTTTACTTATTTTCGCTTATCTTATTTTCTTTCGTATCTTCTAATTTCTCCTGTATGATCTTTGGCTGCAAAATATGAGAAATGGAATCTAGGGAAAAAAAAGGATGATATTTTTAAAAATGGTTCTACGTCTAAGGAAGCTAGAAAACACTGAAACAAAATTTGAAGAAATAAAAGTAGAAACTAAAACAGTGGAAAGTTTTTTACATTGTTAACGGTACAGTTGTTTCGTTCCAATAATTATAGAATACATACAGCACATGACTTTCATAACCATGATAGACATAGATATTCAAACGTGTCTGAGGGAATGCGTCATCATGGTAGTGAACTCGTCCATGTCAACCATGCCATCTCCGTCAGTGTCCACAGCTCTCACCATTCGCCGGCAGTCGTCGATGCTGCACCTATCTCCCAGCCTTCCAAGCATTTCTTTAATTTCTTCTGCACTTATTTTCCCATCACCATTCCTATCAAACGTCCGAAAGGCACTCTGTATATCCATAGTCCTAACCCCACCACCCTTGTTCTGAGCCTCCATAAATTCTTTGAAGTTGATGAATCCATCTCCATCCAAATCAACCACCTTGAAAATATTTGGCACTTCATGAACCGAGTCCCCCATGCCTAGAGCCTTCATGGTGGCTTTGTACTCCTGTTGAGAAATTTTCCCATCTTTATTTGAATCAAATTTGTCAAACACATGCTTCATCTCATCAGAGTTAGGCTGAAGAAATACACTCTTCAGCCCAGAGTTCTGCCTGTCACGGGAGAACAGACGTGATGGCTTCCTCAAGTATTTTCTCCTTGAGAGGTTGTATTGGAAATCAAGGAAACTTGTACTTGACATGTTTTGCTGCTATGGATTTCGTTTAATACTGAAAAAAGACTATTATGGCCTTTTATACTAGCGAGAGGCGGTGACATGATAATCAATCAAGAGCTATCAGTAATTCCTCATCAGTACGAAACTCGAGATGCTAAACGAAAATACAGGGTATGAAAAGAATGGTGTGCACAAAAAGATAAGCATTTTTATGGAAAAGAATATATTCTTTTCCAAAGATACAAGTGTGCTTTCCTATCTTCTTTTGTGGGACTTGTATTTTCAAGTCAGTTTTCTAGTGGGTACAATCTTTTACCAAATCTAATCGTAAAAATGTTCCTTTACGTAATATTTCAAGGAACTATTACGGAAGAATAAAACTCATCAAGATAAATAAAGCACATGTTCTCGTGGGGGAGAAAGGGAATAAAAGAAGAAAAGACTGAGGAGGCCGGGAGGACGATCAACCATCATGGTGGTTTTCCATTATCTAAATCCTCCATTACATCAATATCCTTGCGAGCTGTTATCTTCTGCACGTAACCTGCAAATAGACAGTCCATAAATTACTCCAACTTGACACTCTTGAATGTAACAGTTGATAAAAGTGAAGATTTCCCAAAGTTGACACAGAATTAAGAAGGAATTTTTTGATAGTGACACGCATCTCAACTAAGTCTGTGTCACTGTTAGGAAATGATTTCCTACTAACGCATAAAGTTTACAGAAAAAGCACTTAAAACAGGAAAAACCCACTTATATGAGAAATTCTAAGCTAACTCCAACACATGAGAAATCTATTGCTCTGTATAGTTATAGCTAACGTAGTAAACGGTACAAGGAGCCTAAGAATGTATCCGGCATGAAAGGTATACCCACTACAGGGAAGGGGAGGGATGCGATGCTCACATTAAATTTCCAACAAAAAACACAACTTCAATATGGAACAAAGCCTCTACATCATCAACCACTCTCACATCACGCGTTTCACCATAGTATAAACCAAAAGGGAAACCGAAGCATCATAAATAATATGTAGCTTACGTATCACAGTTAAAAATGATATTAAAATAATTAGTTCTTAAAACAAACAAACATGAAGCCGCAACTGCTAAATAAAGATTGTACGTGAGTGTTTCAATTGGTATAATTCAGTAACTACGCCATGTAGGATATGCAAACATTCCTAATGCATTAGCGAAAAAACGAGTGAAATGAACAATGTAACATAAAGGAAGTTAGGATTCAAACTAACTACAGGCAAAGGGAAACTAAAAATGCAAGTGCACTATTTTAAGGCATCCCCTGAAATCTTACTTTGAGATGCTGGCTGGTACAACATCTATGAAACACTTATTGGAAGTCTTGTAAAATTAGATGTTATCCATACGACGATGAGAAAGGAATTTAATTCATACTGCATAACAACACCAAGTCATGCAGAAAAGAAACATCCTCCCCACGGTCAAAATATAAGTTTTTCACCACACAAATAGTGAACAAATCACAACCATCCTGGTTTCTATGGTGAACAAACGCTCATCTGATCTACAACAACCAAACTCAGCATCTAAGCCACGGTCTCTCCTTGTTATTACTGGCTTGAGAATTATGCCTTTGATTGATGGTATTGTGTCTCTGGGCCACGAGTTTTGATCATTAATGTATTATCTTCTTAATTTTGGAATAATTTAGCATGTTCACATTAGACAGAATATATATATATATATATATATATATATATATATATATATATCATGTAAATTATATTTTATATGTATGAGAATTTATTAAAAGAAAAAGAAGGTACAAAAGTGAAAAGGATAATAAATCCTCAAGACAATAAAAGGTAAAATTAAACTAAGAACAAGAAACATGTAATACAACAAGTCAATCTCGCTATTCTAACAAAGAAAATCCTAGCTCCCCAAAGAAGACCAGTAGCAGAATGCTTATAAGACACTGGGTGAACTGATTGGATCTCAAATGAACTCAAGGTTACTAAACCCAAACAGAGATTCTAGCATTTCTTTCCAACCATATACATCAAATAATTGTCATCTGAGGAGAAGCTTGTAGCAACTCTGCTGGTGCCAAATCTTCTAAAATTAACACACAAGAACTGCCGGAGATCCTTGTGACTAACCCAAGCAGCCAGTTGTTTACTCAAGTTTGTAGGTATCACGTTGAAACAGTTAAGATGATAGAAAACTAAATTTACGGCATAGTCATGCCCACACACAACCATTAACAAAGCTAAAAAAACATGACCATTTCAAATAGAAAGAAATTGAAGTTCATAAGTTGTGAATGAATGATAACCAAGCATCTAGATTCCTGTATCAATTGGTGCTTTCGGTGAGTTGACCACAAAAAGGACTACCTATAGGCTGAATTAAGGAGCAAACCGAATTCTGATAGATGAGTGAAGTCGTCTCTGGGAAAAAAGGACTACCACCGAGTCAGTGTTAATAGAGTGAAACTATTGTGGATGTTGGCCCTTAAAGAGGTGATAATGTAAGAGTTCTATATTGAGTAGGATAAGCTACTTGATATTCTGTGCTTAAGCCTAGAAGTTCTCCCACCTAACGGACTAGTCTTTAGGGTTTGACTCTATCTTACCCTTAACTCCTATATGCATCAAAACGAAAATCTACTCATGAAGTAAGGGAGCTAAATTCTAGTTTATTTAGAATTCAAGAATATAGTAAAGGTAGTTAAGGAAAGGGGAAATGCAGATTAATATCGAGATGATAAATGGTTTTCTTTTGATCATATTAAAGCTGAGTTATAACTTTAATGGCTTCAGGAATGCTTAACAGTTTATAAATAGTTAATTTTCCATTGGTTCCTTGCTAAAGGAATAGCATTTAGCCCTGAAGAAGGGAATAAATTAGATATGCAGTATGCCTAACTAAACATTAAATTATACTGGTCCTTTATGTTTTATTCAATTTGGTCCTTTATCTTCTAAAAATTTCAATTTAGTCTTTTATATTTTGAATAAATGTAAGATAATAAAGGGCAATTTGTATAATTTAGCCCTAACTAAAACATTCCACTTAGAAAACAAGCCTAAATAAAACAAGGCAAAGCCAAATTTCACTATAATCCCCCTTGCTCTCAACAGACACAATCTCGCCTGCACTCTAAACTTCATATCCCAAACAAAAACAACAACTAGATATTGTCTTGATGTGGTCCATTGCACAAGGCTCCATCATTCAGGGTAGGGGGGAGAATAAGATGGATCCAATTTCCTGGAAACAAGCGAAAGAGTAAAGAGAAAATCCTCAAAATTGGCCATTGTCATGACAAAAACCTATAGGAGAATACTCATCCTCTAAATAAGCAAGCTTTACATATATAACATGTTTGTAGGCATATAGGCAAATACATTTATGCAGGAAATTTAAAGGTCATAACATGACACTCAGCATTTCTTATGTTCATAAAAAGAAAATTTCACAATCTTAAGATTAGTCCCTGCTTATCCAACACAAGTCTTAGCCAAGTTAATATCAAAACATGTTTTCACCAAATGCATTACCAATTCCCATGCAAGGAATGCATTTGCAGGTAACCGCTTTCCCTCTCTTGCTATGGTAGCTAACATATCCTGATCCTTGGCAACTACGGCACTTGCCAGTCCATTCATACACCACCTCCTTACAATCCTACAAGTCACACATTTCAAAATTAAACAACAACAACAACAATAATAATAATAATAATAATAATAATAATAATAATAATAACCTTATCTTATGAATTAGGTGATCTAATCCAATTCAAACACTTCAATGGTTTCGGTATTGGACTTGATATTGATCCTAACCAAACCCATCCAGTATATAACATATTTTTAATTTTAATTTAATGTGTTATGTTTATAAAAGATAAAGATTGAGAAAAAAACACATTATTAAATATCATTTTCTTTAACATTAATTATGGAAAAACAAGTTCATAGCAGAGGAAATTAAGATTTGATTTGATTTAATTTGTTTAAATATATTATTTAATCAAAACACATACAACGAAGATATTAAAAAGTTATATCAAATGAATTAGTAAATAAAAAATATTTTTTTGACTGTAAAATAAGTTTTATTTTTTTAATACATATCCAACCAAATTATTGTGGAATAACGGGTTTGATGAACTCAACCCAACCCAACCCTACCCTACCCTACCCACCCATGAACACCCCTGTCAGAAGTAACTCACTATGCAAATAAGGAATACAAAAGGGCTAAACCTGAACTTGGGGATCGCATTGGAGACGTCTATCAATCTCTTCCGGCGAAACGGGTGTGGTATCGGGGTACGTCATGGGAAGGGGAAGAGGCTCGCTATCATTATCCAAATAACTCTCTCTCTTCCGAGACCATTTCTTCACCCTTATCGGTTCGTTCCCGCCGCCACGCCGTCCTTCGGCGGCGAGTCCCCCGCCGTCGGGAAAGGGTCCTAGCCGGAGGCCTCCGGCGACGGACTGGAAGAAGGAGGGGGCCACTGAGAGGTCTCCGGCGGCGGCGCGGCACCGGAAGGACGAAGGGTTGCAAGGGAAGAAGAGGTTGGACGCAGCATTGGTAGCGAACATTCGCAGGAAGAAGAAAACGAAGCGACGCGAGAGAAGGAGATTGAAGGAGTTGTTATTGTTGTGGGGAAATGTGCGAAAATGTGTGGGGAATGAATTGGTGGATGTGTGGGCGTAGAGATTGGTCACGTGTGCAGAAGCAGCAAAGCAGAGTATTTTATTGATTATCGGATATGTTTATATTTCTATGTCAAAACAGATTTTGTGGCTACTTGCCTCTCTCTCTTGGATGAATTTGTAAGTCTCTTCAACTCACAGTTCAAGCCGTAACTGTTTAGTTAAAACTTCAAAGTAGACAAGAAATCACAGATACGCTTTTTTCTCTGTTTTCTTAAATAAGTTTCAAATCAATTTTTATTTTGACTATTCAATATTTTTAAATCTCTAAATAAATTATTATTTATTTAATATTTTGTTTAAGTATCTGAACATTGATGGAAAAGCTTAATATTAATTATTATTTAAAATTAAAGTTAAAGATGAATGTGAGACAGCTTAACATACAAAAAATTGTTAGATATTAAAAAAAACGATCACATATTAGAAAACTAATATTTATTTAAATAGTTGCTTAGGTGGCCGTTGAGTGGATCGTTTAGGAAATAAAAATTTCATTTCCATGAAACCATTGGTGAGTAGTTTATCTCTAAATTAAATTTAGATTATAAATAAACTAATTTTAAAAAGTACGATTTGTTAGTTTATGCAAAATTTGATTTTGAATTCATCTATAAGTTTATTTTATTATATTTTTTTCTGCTTAAAGTTTCTTTTAAATAAAAACAATTGTTTATTCTTTTGATTTATTTCATGTTTAAATTAATTTTTTTAAGAAATATGGTTTTTATTTTAATTAATGTTTTAAATTTAAAGTTAGATATTAAATATCGATCTTCAAATTCATAATATTTATGATGATAATAATTACAATAAATATTTATATAATACATGTAGATGGACTTTCCTTATTTCTCAATTTTTAATAAATTTTGATCCAATAAATCCTAAAGGATAATAGTCTAGACCAACCTTGTCCAAATTTATTATTATAATTTTTTTTAAGAACATTTGGTGTCATATATGGAGATTGGTAAAACATATCTCACAACACATTTTGAATGTTGATTATCACTAGCATGAATCCTAAAGAAATCATTATTAGTTTGAGATTGCATATGGAAGCAATACAATGAAAAAATGAGACAAGCTTTCAAGCAGAGATTGCTAGAATCAAATAAAAATGTAAAGAAGAATGCAAGTTCTTAGAAATACATAACGAAGACATTGAGAAATAATTGTTCATTTTAGCAAGGTCCTTTTCGAGGAAATATATCTCATCGAAGAATCAATCTTAATCATAGTACTAATCACCACCTCCTGGAGGAGAAACTCACTATAAAGGTGAGTCTAGTCACAAAGATACTCGGACTACGCCCAAAACAAGTGAAAAGAATGTTAATTCCCACCATATCAAAGGATAGTCGAGAATAAAATTCGAAAGTCCTTTTATACCCAAGATCCTGGCAAAACCATTACCAACCGTGTGGAAGGCCCCTACCATTAAAGGATTTGAGGGAGGAGCTGACCTGGATGAGCATATAGGATCTTATTTGACACAAGTAAATGTATTAAGTGAAAGTATGCTTTTTCTCCTCATGACCCTAAAGAAAGCAACATTGAAATGGTTATATGATTTACTTGCTAGATCAATAGAATCATTCAAAATATTGACATAGAAGTTTTGAGCGAACTTCGTGACCATGAGGCCACACCAGTCAACCTCTCTCATCCTCCAAGAGATGAGACATGAAAAAACTAAATCATTGAGGAATTTTATAGAACAGTTTAATGAAATAAGCCTCACGATGCATAACATGTCCTCAGACTTAATCAATCATCCCATGATAACTAGGCTGAGGCAAGGCTCATTCTTAGACAACCTATACATGGACTATCCAGAGTCCCTATAGGAGCTTAGAACTCGGGCTTTCCGGTTTATCTAATTGGAGGAGAATACTGAGATCACAAAGAGGAGAGAGTTACAAGAGAAAGAAGGTTCGTCTCACAAGTAAAACTCGAACAAGAAGTTCAAACGTGAAGAGAGAAAATTCACTCCCTTAAATGCTAGTGTTGAAATAATTTGCAAGAGGCATGCAATTTCGAACTTGAAAAATTGCCAAAACCATTAGTCACACCCTCAGATGCAAATAGGTCAAAATAATGTGCGCAACACCAAAACTATGGTCACACCACTGAGAATTGTAGAAAACTTTGAGATATAATAGAGGATCTTATCCAAACTGGCTCTTTAAACCAATTTATTGAAAGTTAATATATTTTCATATAGTGCAATCTAGTGTGAAAAAGAAAAACTTGTCGAGCTCATCGTAATAAATTTTCTTCATAGTAAGTTAGCTTGCAAGGAGGCCATTATTGTAGCTTCCCAAAATACTTCACTCTTATCAAGATAGATTTGCACTAATGGGAAAAGTGTAACGGTTATACCTTGCCAAAAATATGAAGCACATCATTCTCAACCATAGCTCTCCTTTGAGTAGATCTCAGCTATAACTCTCCCTCGAGCACACCTTGGTCATATGTCTCTCGCGAGCACACCTTTGTCATACGTCTCTCGCGAGCAAACCTCCCTCATACCTCTAAATCGAGCACACATCAGTCATTGTTCGTCATAGCTCTCCCTCGAACACATCTTGGTCATAGCTCTCTCACGAGCAAACCTCACTCATAACTATGAATCGAACACACATTAGTCATTGTTCCAAATTAAACTTGCGGCGACTTTAATGATATTTTATAAATTACTAATATAAATTGCACAATTTTCAAAATTTTGTAGTCATTAAATCGACCTGGTCAACCTATAATAGAGATCAAAATAATTAACTCGCTCGAAAAATTCGGATAAAATCTTATATATGATACTTAATTAGTCAACTCATTTGTCTATAATAATATACAATAAGTTTACATAATATTATAATAAAACTCAATAATCAGCATTAAAATATGTATAATCCTACTACCTATCCAATAAAAGGCTTAGACCACTCTATTCTCTACTAATGATCTTTGTAAGTGTGAATTAATTATTATATATATATATATATATATATATATATATATATATATTTTAAGAATATAACCAATTATTTTTTCTTTTGATTTGTTTGATGTTTCATTTTACCAAATTTTTAAAACTTAAAGTGAAATTTTAAAATAAGAAATAAGTAAAATTGATAATTTAAAAAAATAATATATTTTACTAAAATAAATAATTAAATATTTGATCAAATTATATTATATTATATTATGCAACCTCTTGTATCTACTATATTAATATAGATATAAACTATAATCCATTAAAATTATTAATCTTATATAATTCCATTAAAAAAGGAAAAAAGAGTAGAATTACATTTAACATTATTCAAATATCTCTAAGTTGTCATAAATATTTGTATGTGACTAACACATAATCATCACAATTTTAAAAAATAAACTTAAGTTAACCACAGATTAATAATAATCCATAGCATAATACATAAAGTTGATTAACAATTTCATCCATCTTGCCATCAAAATAAGCATATCCAACACAATGTTTTCACTTTTCAGACTAAAACACATTCCTGATCCCATCAAAGGCATCACACATGTCACACCTTATCTAAGTATCACACAATCGCATAAAAAAAAATTTAAAACTTGATGAATTTAAAAATGAAGGACTAACATTCGTGAAATTTTTCACATATTACCTTGTTATTGAATTTTTTTGTATGGAAATCCACAATTTTTTTTTTCTATAACTCGATCTATATGATAACTTTCACATTATGCTTTATCATCTAATTACATGTATAAAAATCTATTGATTTTCTTATCACAATTTGATCCATACAGTTCCTCATAGGTGGTAGAAACCTCCATGGATATTTTACTATATGTTATTTTCATTTATGTTAATTAAATTACCAATAAAACTTAAATATCTCATTTAAGGATGCTTTTGTAACTCACTAACCACCAAGATACCAACATAATCATTCCTCCTTGCTATCTACTACTTTTGACACAATTCAAACTCAATCTTATTTGAATCAATTATATTCTTTGATAATATAGCTATACTATTCTCATTTAAATCAATTACATTAATTCTTTCATAACATAGATATATTATTGACATAGTTACATTCAATAAAAATTTTAAATACATGTATATTCATCAACCTTATCAAATTAAACATTAGTAACATTAATTAAATGGTATTAAATTATAATAACACTTTAAAACCCTCAAATAAACTTAAACAAAGCAATAAGGAAGCAATTAAACAATTTTGAAGTACAAAGGTTGGATTAGCATATGATGTTTAACGTCAATCTTGAAACTTGGCCTCAGAATTTCAAGCTGGTGTTGAAGAAGGGTGTAGGAAGAAAAGATGCGACTACATTTACTTTATTTGAAGTAAGAAAATATTAAGATTTTCTATCTTATACTCTATAGCATTAAGCTCTTTGTTATATATTATATCTCTTTTTATCCTAATCTAATAAATCCAAGTTATTATTATTATTATTATTATTATTATTATTATTATTATTATTATTATTATTATTATTATTATACATTCACTTAGTTTCACTTTTACTAAATCTAATGAAAATATTCTTCAAATTAATTCATATTATGATAATAGTGTGCAATTAATATATTTATTATTAAGTTATACATAATATTATATTTAAAGGATAATTACTGATATAGTCATAAAATATTATTTATAAAAGTAGGGTAAGAGATTTATACATAGATCACTTTACTCAATGAATCAACTCTCATTCAAAGATTTCTTTATTATTTCTATTATTTCTTATACTAACTCAAATATCAAAGTATATTTACAAGTGAACTTCTTCTTTTTCTAATATTCAATAAAGTTGGCCTAGTAGATTCTAAAGCAGTAATTGTCCAAATC